CGTACAGACGGACAACCCAGAAACCTGACGACTCTGGCTACAGCTTTTGGGAGCCCTGGTCTTAAGGTGAGAAGTTGAAAAGTCCAGCACAGTTTCCTGTGATGATTCTCAGTATCAAGATGAAAGGTGATATAATAGTGACTACAAAATATCACACTACAGGCCTTTTTGAATCATGTGCACTTTGCAGTACAGTACACAGCAATATGACTTTTAAGGCTCAATTTGTCTTTCCCACATAAACAAACCCACATGGGCACATCAGCATGTCAATGACACTAGCAGTCAGACATGTAATTTTGCTTCTTCTAGGACAGTCTATAGAGAGGCCTGCAATATATGGGACAACAGTGTCAAATGAGGTGTGGCATCAAAAAAAGATCCAACACTGGTGAATGAAATACAAGATGACTTTAAATGTAAAGCAGGGCCAATGTAATTTTGCAAGAGTACATAGAGTAGACATTTCAGTCATGCTGATAATGGGAGAATAATTAAGACAAAAGGCAAAACTACTTGTTGAAGTGCCACCATGGATTGGCTTACGTGTGAAAACAAACAGAGGCTTAAAACCTGCACTGCGGAGTACCATGGTGCAATACGAAAAGGCAATTGAAAACTGTTTAACCAGTCAACTTGATGTGTCTGCATCCGAAGAAGTGCCAGTCTGAGCTTTTTTTAAAAGGGAATACTTAACATAATTGTTAGTCTTGATTGTTAGTCTTGATGGAAACAGACTAGCAATTTTTTTTTAGTTACACATCCTGATAATTGATTACCTAAGATCATTACCAAGACATTAGTAAGGATATTTTCCAACATCAATATACATCATTATACGACAAAAACAGGCAAAAAGGTCACCCAAAATAATCTAATTGATGTTTAAAGCTATAAAGTGTGAGCAATGTGCTTCTATAGTATCTGCAAATGACAGGTGGCCACTTCTCCCTACCTTATCCAGCACTGCTAATACAGTTATGTACATATACAAAAATGATGCTGTTAATGCAAGAAAAAATATTCTAGAAAGAAATAACTTTGGCCCAAATCAAGCACAAACAAATGATCAAACATCCTTTTAAAAGGGAGCAGTTAGTTGTCATGTAGAGAGTTGTATCACTCACCCTGTCTCAGCGTGTATTCCTGAAGAAGGGACTCAGTGGACTCATCCAGAGCAATGTCCAGAGGAACATCTCCGTCACAGTTCACAGCAGAGAGAGACGCACCTTGCTGTAAAAGGAAACTGACAAAACAAACAAGAACAGAGTGAAAATCCATTTAACTGTAGAAACATTTACAGAGTCTACACAAGGACAAACAACTATAAACATAGATACCTAATCCTATCTGTGTTTTGGGTGCAGATATATTCAATTTTCAAAACGAGGACAAAAGGTGTTATTCAGACAAGGAAAGGAGAGTGCAGGAAAAAGGACATCAATTTTCAATCTTTTGATTTGAATGTGTTTGTATGCCAGGTCAGCCCACTCATGCTTTAGCTGACTTGTTCTCCTGCCAAACACAGCAACAATGTTAGTATTGTTAAATACATAAATACTCCGGCACCCACACTGCACTCTGACGTCCCCACAGTGTTAAAGAGTGCTTTATTGCCCAGCTGCTCTGTTCTGCCAACTGTAGAGAGATATACTACATACGCTGTGACGTCAGCGTGGCCGCAGGAGGCAGCCACATGCAGCGGTGTCCATCCTTCACTGTCAACCTGGTTCACGTTGGCTCCATGCTTCAAGAGGAAGGTCACCATCTCCAGGCTGCCATCTATGCAGGCCTGTGTACAAAACATGAAAAAAAAACAATAAAATAATGCAACTGTGAAAGCTGTTACTCACCAGCAAGTAACCTAATGAAAGGGGGGCTTCACCTGGTGGAGAGCTGTGATTCCATCGGTGTTAGAACAGTTGATAACTTCTGCCACATTCTCCCCATTCCTCGTTTCGGTCTCTTTGGCTTCTTTGAGCATCAACTGGGCCTCCTCAGTGTCCCCACTGGCACAGGCAGCCAGGAACTCTGCAGCCCTGTCAAACCTCACACTCTTCCTATGGACAGAGGATACAGGCACCTAGATGATTTTAGTGGTTATCAGCTGTAGCTGGTTTGCCAAATTAAGATAACAAACCTTACAACATAGACTAGTAATCCTCTAGAAAAAAGTGAGAGCACCATAATGTGATTTAGCACATGATGGTTTTGAACACAGGTGGAAGTGAGTGATTTCAGGCTTTGGATACACAGGCAATACTCGCTGTAAAATCAGTTGATGGTTTTGATTTTGTCATGGGATTGGGTGACACAAATACAGAAAAACAAACCTTTAATCTGATCATTTATGAAACCACTGTGCTGTCACACAAATGTGCCTTCTTCTTTTGGTCAGTGTTGGTGAGGGTCTGCTCATATCTGCTCTTTGCTAATGCAGTCCGTGTCCTCATAAAAGGTGACTTTTGATCACCAGTGTTCAGACTGCTGCAGCATTTGTGACAGATGGACCTGCAACTGAGGCAGCCATTACTGTATTACAAGACAGTCACCCTGACACCGATTAGCAGAGGGCTGAGATTCATCTTTAAGAGGTGGTCACTGCCTGTGTTAGTGGCTGAAAATAAGCACTGCAAAATGTCCCAAAACAAAACATGACATATGAGGAAAAAACTGAATTAGCAAAGTCTGTCAGTGGTATAAACGGACCCTCACCCAGACTGACTTTAAGACACCTTGCTAACTAGCTAGCACAAATATTACAAACACCGGCCCGAGAAATGACTAGTGACCACTGACAGTTTCAACGAAGACCGAACACGTTGGCTTTAATAAGCGGTAATTTAACGTGATGTAGTAGCTGGGGGGCTAATATCACGGTGTTTAACTGTCAGCCCCATCCGAGCCCACGCAAAACACTTGAACTTAAGTTAAGCTAGCTGGCTGTTGGCTGGGCGTGTAGCCGTTTAACAGGAAACGCTTCCTTGCCGTCGTTTGAGGAGAGGACTGGTTTCATCTTTGCCACCAGACACTGGCTGGTCCTTCGGTGAGTTACTGAGCTCGGGCTCCGGTTCCCCCGCTCCGTCGTCGGTATCGCCCCGCCACCTCCGCCTGGGCACGACCGAGGCTTTGTCGGTGCAGGAGCCGGCCCAGCGCTTCAGCTGCTCGCGCCGCTTGGTCCTCGCCGCGTCCCCCATTTATTTATCCCAGGAGGACTGTGTTTTTAAAAATAAAACATACAGTGACAAGAAAAGACACACCCTCCATGTGTATATTTTCACTTCCTGGTTGTCTACCTCTAGATTAAGAGGAAGTCTCCGTTTGTACTCGTCAGCGTGGGGAGAGCGCCAACTTGTGCAGTCCTACCCACAGATGTGGTGACGTCACCACCGCTGTTTTGTAGTATACCCCTGAGGGGAAATGCTGAAATAGCTTCATGCCTTGGCATTGTGTACATACTGTAACCACCACACTTCCTGTTATTGTGGGTCTCCTGAGACTATGGTCAACTTAATGTTTAAATAACATCTATAATGGCCAGAGTTGTAACTAATGGCTTAGATATATTTCAGTTATACTGTAAGTCATTCAACAGTGGGTTAACATAAGTCTGTCTTAAAGAACCCATGGCATACTTTTCCTTGTTTTTTGACTTATCTACAATGTTACAACAGTGAATTATCATCTTAGACACGACCTAAAGCTCAAAAATTAGGTGTACGTGTGTTGTAGTATTTATATGCAGAAACAACTCAGTTTATACACGTCTCACGGACTCGCACTTGCAACTTTTTTCTAACTAAATAAAGTATTACGTGATAGTTTAAGGATTTCCTTGAATGGTCATAATCTCCAGGCAGTTGCTTTATGTGAGCTTGCCTGACATCCACTGGTGCCATTGTAAAAGCAGAATTTTTTGACTGCGCCTGGTTTTGTGGATATATTTTACCTCCTGCTGCTGCACTGTGACCAGAGGATGTGGAGAAAAATACAGGGCCTGGGGTTACTGCATGTCCAGGAATGTTCCTGTACAGGGACTCAATGTTTTACCTGACTGGGTCTCACCTACAAGCAGCCGCCAGTGAAGCCCCCCATCGTGGTGAATGATCAGCTCATCAATGCTGGATTCCCCCGGAGCACAGTACCTGTTTCTTTTGATTGCTTGAGGCCAGTGTGTCAGCCCCATGTGATGTGATGCAGGTTAACGAGAGAATTAATGACCCATGATGTTATTGTCAATGGTTCACTACCTGTTGGAATTAATTTCACTACTTTGGGACTGTATGTGGTTGTGTTGTTGAAGAAGTGGTGACCACCGGTTGGATTTACCGACCTTGGAGCTACTTGAATAGGAGTGATGTTTCTACTACTCGGTGGGACTTAACAGTAAGTAAAAAAAAAAGCGCATGTTGCATGTCTGTTAATGCCTTGTTTCTATAACGTTGGAGAGAATTGTTGTAAGGCTGGAGAAGTTACTATGTCTGCATTATGCCAGTTAAAATATGGGGTTTCTCAGTTACCTGCTTTGTTTAGAGTATTACACATCTGTATTCATCGGTACATATACTGTTGTTTACCTATCTGTGGAGGAGAAAGAGGAGAAAGTCAAATTAATTAATGCCGTTGCAGTTCGTTGTGCTGTCCACGTTCATATTCTGGCTCCAACATGTCAGGTAGGATTTCAGGTGTTGTCATTATCAAAAACATAGATTATTTGTCAATGTTTTTGGTCTCCCAGCGTGATGTACTTTCCCGGTTCAAAACTTGGTTTCATGTAGCGGCCCCCTCAGTAGTTGTGGTTAGGATAATTAATGGTGAAGCAGATTTCGACACAAAACCAGCAACAGCAGTTGTGCAAGCTCACAAACTATCCTCTTGTTTTTAGGAAGAGGCTCTCAAATTATTTCAGAACAATAAAACCACAGACTATTTGGAGTTATGAGGGGTGCAAAGCTAATCTAGAGGTACCCAAGATTAAATGGCTGAAAATGAGCATGCCATGGGCTCTTTAAGGTAACCCAGTAACAGTGTTGCTATCAGCCAGTGTATGGTTCTTAGGTTTTTATTAAACTCCCATATAACAATGGTTGCCTTATGTTTGCTGTGTGGCTAGTCTAATTTTTGTTTACTCGAAGTACAAGACTACCAAATAAAAAGCAGATGTACTCAGCAGGTTCTGGGTGGAGTACTGTTCAGGCATGTTTTGTAAAGGAAATGAGGTTTTCTCACAAGCACTAAGGGCTACTGCTGAGAATTGTGGCACATTAGGTGTGGGTAGATAGTTGTGGGTTGTGTACATCTTCTGGCTTTCTTACTGTGTAATTATGACCTCTTTTGGCTTTTGCGTGTGCCTCCCATGTGATGCACTGCACAGGATCTGTGCATACGTCCGCAGTATTCAGCACAGAGTGGGGGTGTACTGCAGTGATGTGCGGTCAGGGGAGGCAGGTGAGGCAGAGCCTCCCCTGTCAATATTGAAAAGAAAAAAAAAGTTAACCATAAAATATAATAAATGTTAATATTTGTCAGCTGGTGTGTGTTGTAGGCCGTTTTGCTGTTCGAACCCGATGTTGAAGGAATTTATTTCAATAAAGAATAGTAGAATTTCCGTATGTCCCGTTCAAATACATGGAGGAGATGCGCGATGAGGCAGCACTTTGCTGTGCCTCTCGGTGGATCGTGTAATCCTCACAAACTGTATGCGATGCAAATAGTGTGTCGCTGTCCCTCTATATATCGCAAATAAAATACTTTCAAACACTCTGATTATATGCTCTGCCTTGCCATAATCTGGATAATGTATAAAATGTAGTTCTGTAACGTGTTTAGGCTTGCAGATTAACCATAAAACCCAGTAAAAAAGTTACTCGGTGAGGCAAATAGTACGCCTAAAAACTGTGAACCATATCTTTAACAAGAATAAACCTTTGGATTCTAGGGTTAGAAAATCCCCCTGGCTGGTGAGTCATTATATATTAAGCTCACAATTTTCTTGTGGGGCAGCACGGAGGCACGGTGGTTAGTGCTGTTGCCTCACAGCAAGAACGTTGCGGGTTCATGGCCTTTCTGTGCAGATTTTGCATGTTCTCCCCGTGCTTGCGTGGTTTCACTCCAGGTACTCTGGCTTCCTCCCACTGTCCAAAGACATACGCCTTAGGTTGAATGGTGACTCTAAATTGCCTGTAGGAGTGTATGTGTGAGTGTGAGTGGTTGTTTGTCTGCGTGCCGGCCCTGCAACGGACTGGCGGCCTGTCCAGGGTGTACCCTGCCTTTGCCCAATTGCTGGCTAGGATTGGCTCCAGCGACCCTGTTTGGGACTGAGTGGTATAGAAGATGAATTTTCTTGTGAAGTCTGTTTTCTGCTACCTAAAGAGGCATCCACAGAAGTTAGAAAGTCATTTGCAGATTTTTTTTAAGAAGGACAGAGGTCAAATAGTCCATTGGAGGTAAAATGCTAAAACAACTATCTTGCTTGAGGAGGATGTGCACCAGCACAAGGCATTTTTCACAGTCTTGCACCCCAACAGTTATTTTCATTAATGACTTGTAACTAATCTATAAAACAGCAAATTATTTACTGTACTATAACTGTAACTATTTATATAGTCATTAATTTGTCACGGCCTATATATCATTTATACATGGTTATTTGAAAACTGTGCCAGAGGCACATATTAAAGGCTCTGACCCTCTGATTTGAAGTTTTAAGCTTGGAGGATACTGAGAGGATACTGAAACTGATACTTAGAGCATGTAGTCCAAAGCTCCTCCCATTTCCTTCCTCATGTGGAGACAGCAGGGCCAGCCAGAAATGTCAGTAAGCCACAGATAGTGTACACAGTTTTATTTAAAGGTGGAGGTTGGAACTTTATGAACTTGTCATGTCTTCACCTAGCACTGCTCATCCTGATGGCCTGTCTGCCTTGCCAGTGGCTACTAGCTTGAGCCAGGGATGGCCAGCATTCATAAAGTTACCACAGGTGTTTCGAAAGCAGATGCCTGTGACAGTAAAACCAATGGATGTTTGCTTGCCACATGTTGAGTTGTTTGTATTGCTTTTCACCTTGTTGCCATAGCTTCCCTGTGTGTGGTTTAGCAGACTGCTGATGGCCACCACACCCTAGGGCTCAGAGACGCTAGCCCTGCCCAAAATGTCCTGATGATTACCAGTGCAAAGCCAGTTTTAGGAAACAGGCAGGTGTACTCTCTCTCAACTCAACTCAACTTTATTTATATAGCGCTTTACCACAGCACAGCTGACCAAAGCACTTAACATATCATTCAAATATAAAAACAACACATAAAAAGCTATAAACAATAATATAGACACTAACACTACAGACAGAGTCTCATTCCTGGCCAAACGCCAATGAATACAAGTGGGTCTTCAAATAAGACTTAAAAGTGGACAGTGAGGGGGCCTGCCTACTATAAAGCGGCAAGGCATTCCACAGTTTTGGACCTACCACAGCAAAGGCTCTATCCCCCCTAGTTTTCCGCCTGGCCCTCGGTGCCTCCAGAAGAAGCTGATCTGCTGATCTGAGGCACCGCGACGGATTATATGGACGCAAATGTTCCACAAGATAAGATGGTGGCACCATCTTATCTTGTGGAACTTTTTGCCCATTTAAGGATTTATAAACAAATAAAAGAATCTTAAAATTAACCCTGTAACGCACCGGAAGCCAGTGGAGAGATGCCAGTACTGGCGTTATGTGGTCCTTCTTACGCCTCCCAACCAGGTGTAGGTTTGTATGCAGTGCCACAAAGAAAATAATCACACATAATATACCCAATGGCAAATGTATAAAACAAAAGAGTTGCATACTGTGTTTTTTCAAGCAGTTTGTGGGTTAATAGGTTACATGTGCTACCAAGTTGCACTGCCTTAAATGCTTGAATTGATCTCAGATAATTTTTCCAAATATGCACACCGGTTTCAATGGCCTGTCAATCAGGCTTGCTTAACACAATCGATGGTTATCCTACAGTGCTAACTCTTGTAAACATTCCAACATGTACACAGGATCAAAGTCCATGTCACACTCGTCCTGTGACTCTGTGTGCACAGCACTGCAACTCAACAGTCTGTCACCAACAGACAAAGGAGAGCCACTGACAGAAGTAAGTAAATATCTCATTTGCATTTATTAGTGCTGTTCCAGTGTTGGACTAGTTAAATACAAACTTGCTACAAATGACAGAATATGCTCTGATTGTAATAACTCCTTGAATAATACATAGTTGTAGTTTATGCTACAGCACTGACTCTTCGGTGGCACATTACATTTGTTTTTGTACACATTAAACTGAAGGAGTGATCAAAATGAAGTATATACTGTAGGGTAGATATAGAAATGGGTGTAAAATTAAAAACTAATAAAGTGCCTTATTACCACAAGCCTCCAGAGGCATCAGTTCCTCTTGACATAGATGCTACAAGACTTTACTGGAGGGTTGAACATTATTTTTCAAAAGTATTCCCTTAAATGATGTTTTGACAATAGCGTAGGAGAACACTGTTTAAAACGTCATTCCAAATTCTGCCATGGGTGTTCAGTTGAGTTGAATTCTTGTTCTTATGTCCTGCAATGAGGAAGTTGCAACTGGTACTCTTTTCCATTCACGTTTTTCCCTTGTCACTCAATCTGTGAGAATATGTTGACAAAAAGAGCAAATTGACAGTCTATAATGTTTTTGTAGCTGCATCTCAAGCACAAAGTCACAGTGTAATATCTTTCTTTGTGATCTTGCAGCTGTTGCTTTTCTACATGTATATTTCTCCCACTATCACTATTTTCATGAAACATAGTGAGACAAGCGATGCAAATCTATCATCAAACTTTAAAATCACTGTCTATAGTATATACTCATGGCCCAGTATTTTCTGAATGTAAAACAAGAAAGCACCTTGAAAGTTTTTTCAATTCATTATCTGCTTTCATTTTCCATTTTTACATCTACTGAAACAATAAATTACAAGTTTTGCCCATGCACACATTTCAGAATGTCTCTGCCAAAACACACAGCAGCACACGCGATCCCATCTCACACTCTGACCCGCCTGGCACGAGAGTGGCTGGCAGAGGACACACCAAACTTTGATCCTGCAGGGGTCTGTGTGGGGTCCGATGAGGTCGAGGCGAGGCTGCTGTGTAAAACAGCACACAGCATCCTGGCAGGAAGCCCTTTCTTCACAGCAGTGTTCAATGAGGTCGGCTGTACTGTCGACTGGATTTACCAGGAGGGAGCTAAGATCGGTAGGCGTTACCCACTCTATTCCATGCCAAATTATGAGAAGCTGTGGATGTGATGGATGTGATGGATGTGATGGATGTGATGGATGTGACACTCTCATCTAAAATCCAGAGTGGGGAAACTTGTTTTGTCACAGTGACAAATAACATCACCAGTCAAACAGCAGACAACAAAATGGAAGACAGACTGTCACTACAGTACTAACATTAAATGACCAACTAGCACACATTCCACTTGGATCTTTAGTGTAACTCAGCTGGGAGTCCTCTGGGGCATGAAACTGAAAAATAAAAAATAATTAATAATGCTCCTTAAAACATGACCAGTGAAATAGGCAACACATCTAAAATAAGACCTTAAACATAGTGTAAAAAAGTATAACCAACATAACAGAAAAACAAATGTAGCATGTCATTTTTTTGTTTTGCAGTTGTTCAGTCTGAGAAAACAACCTTGATGATGATGTTGTGGTACCGACATCAAACATCAGATTTGAGCATTTATTTTCACCCTAAACACAAATAAGTGTGAGTCATAACTGGGAAACAGTTCACAGGATTTTTCAGATTGACTGAACTGATCCACCAGCTTACTAAGTACATGTATCCCTGTTTAGCAAACACTGAGAAGGATCATCCACAAGGCTGATGTCTCATTTGCTGAACACTCTTGTTCAAATGCAACAGATTTAATTCAAAATGAAGGCTTACTGTATGTCAAGCTTCTTAGACTAGGCTTGTATCATGACCTAATGTAATAATGAATGCCTGTGATTACTGGTGTATTACTCATTTATTCACTCTCATATAATTTAGCACTGCCAGTTTTTTGGGCATGTTTTGATTTCAGTCCTCCCATGTTTTTTGCTTTAACCTCCACAGGTCCAGATGCTGTCACACTAACTGCTGTGGTGAGAGGCCCAGCAAGATGCCTGCTCCTTGGGGAAAGGCCAGCTCTGAACTGCCTGGCCAGGTCCTCGGGCATCGCCACCCGCTGCTCTCAACTCCAGGCAATGGCAACGGCGAGAGGATGGTATGGAGACATAGCTGGCACCCGCAAGACCACCCCAGGCTTTCGTCTGGTGGAGAAGTATAGCATGCTAGTTGGTGGTGTGTCCATGCACAGGCAGGATTTGAGTGGAATGGTGATGCTGAAGGACAACCATGTCTGTGCAACAGGAAGTATCACAGAGGTGAGTGGCACAGATTCAGTTAAAATGAATGAAAAGACATAGGATGTTCTTACAATTCTATAAAAAAAAGACCATTTGAAAAAGACAAAGAACAAATGAACAGCTACTAATGGATGGAACCCACCCTGAGTGGTTAACTGAAGGCTGGACAGTCCTGATCCTGAAGGACCCTCAGAAGGGAGCAGTACCATCCAACTACCGCCCAATAACCTGCCTCTGCACAACATGGAAGCTCCTGTCAGGCATCACAGCAGCTAAGATGAGCAGGCACATGTCTCAAGACATGAGCAGGGCCCAGAAAGGAATTGGTAGTAACACCAGAGGAGCAAAGCACCAGCTACTGGTTGATAAAGTAGTCACTC